CCCCAAAACCCCAAAACCCCAAACCCCAAAACCCCAAAACCCCAAAACCCCACTCGGAACATTCAGTGTTGAAATATAAATATTTAGTATCCATTATACACACAAGGGATTAGAGTAAGAAGGAGGAGAAGGGAAATAATAAGGGTTATAGGAAATTTTAGAAAAAGGCTTAGGTGTAAGTACTTCCAAAGGATCTGTTGCTTCCTTGTGGTGTGCTTTGGTGGGAGTAAGAGAAGTCAGCTTCAGCATCATAATTGTGTGTATAACTAGGAGACTGCCTCTGTGAAGAGTACGAGGGATAGTCTCTGTCAGAAGGAGGTGCTTGATAAGGCTGGTAGGGCTGCGAGGTCTGAGTCTGGTATGACTGAGACTGTGATGCTTGGGGGTTAGTACGGTCGGTAGGGGTGTTGCTGATATAGTTTGAAGTTTGAGGAGATGGATAAATGTAATTGTTGTTTGGCTGAGAATTTGTAAAAGAGGACTCGTAGGAATTGTACTGTTGCTTTATCCTTATAGGCGCTACATAATCAGGAACTGTCTCAACATTTCCTCCTAGCGATATCCTATTTGGCTTCTTTGAAGTGCTCTTTTGTTCATCCCTTGGACTCCTCTGCTCATATCTTGGATTACTTTGTTCATCCCTTGGATTTCTCTGTTCATCTCTTGGACTCCTCTGTTCAGTCTGTGGACTTCTTTCTTCAATTTGCTGAACAGGATTGCTTCCATATTGATTATCAGTGGTAGAAGATCTCCTTGCATCTTGATACTGATCCTCTCTTAATCTGTCTAATTTTAAATCCTGTAGGTTTACATCATAAGCTTCTGCTTGAGGTACTCTTACGCTTTTAATATGGTCAAAGTTAACTTTACCCGACTCTTTAGACTCAGTGTTATAGTTAAATACATGCCTCTCAGGAAGTGAAAATTTAGAAGTCATTGTCTCTGGAATTTTAATCTTTTTAGCATAGGTGAAAGTTAGCTCCTTTGTAGAAAGTGAAGGATTATCACCCCAATTAAATGGATGCTTATCAGCTAAATAAAGACTCTTTTCTTGATATTGAGGTATTTTTAACATATCTACATTGTTGAAATTAATTTCTCTTGTCATTAACAATTCAGATTCAAAGTTAAATGAGTGTCTTTCTGCAAGGCTGATCTCTTTATTTACAGTTTTATCTAATTTAACTTTTCTGTATTGGTTCAATGAGACTTCCTTCTTTGTGTTAGTTTCAAAAGTAAACTCTTTCTTCATTGGAAGCTCGAATGGCTCCCATTGAGTCTGTCTCAATTTGACTGGTTTATTCCAAGCATATTGAACTTCCTGACTTGTTTTTCCTACATTTATATCAACTGGTTGTCTTCTAATTCCTACATCATCATTATTTGTAAGGATTGATGGAGAAGTAGCTTGACGTAAAGGAGGCTCAATTCTTTGGACCTGAGTTGGTTCATCAGGCTTATATTGAGAAATTTCAGAAGGCTCTTTTTGAACTCTATCGTTTGCATAAACTCCATGAGAGATGACATTGTCGCATGACTCTCTCAATCTGGTAAATCTTTCTGGATTTTCAGTACCATCTCTAACATTCTTGACACTTCCATAATATAGCTTAGAGCAAATGTAGTCCCTAAAAGCACTCCACTCAGCTTCACCTTGAGGGTTATTGGTTCCCTCAAGCCTGAGTGGTTGATCGTTAAGTGTACTCCTGACAAAATATTTCCCATCTTTTCTGAAAAGTTGGAACCTCAGCTCATCATTAAAATCTACTCTATAATTTTCAACTTCATTGAATAAATGTAGAGCAGATAGCAAAGTAAGTTGATTTCCTGAATAAACTGTTTGCTTCATGCTATGGATCTGTTCATTCTTGTGATCTCCTGATTGATCATCCTCCATCTTAAGTTGTAGTTCATGGGCAACACTAGAGAGATAGTTATGAGAAAAAGCTCTGTTAAGATCATAATCTCTAAATAAACCATCTCCAAAGTAGTGACCATAATAAACATCTAGATCATTTTGCAATTCAGGGGAAAGATTCACTGCAGATCTTTGTCCATTAGCCTGAGCGGCGATAATGTCATCAGCATATTTGTATGCAGAATAGAAATTAATATTATCGTCAGGCTTGTGAATGGCCCTAGCAAAGTCTTCGTAAAATCTAGTCCCATGAGTTCTCTCGTATTCATTCTTAGCTTCGAATAATTGCTGATCAATTTTCTCTCTTTGCCCTGGATATGTCTTCCCAACTTGAGTTAAAAATAGAGCATCAGGATTTCCTGGATGTATCTTTGCTTGTGTGGTTTTTGAACGAGGGTTGCCCAAATTTAAGTTTGATCTGACAGTATTTACATCATAATTGGTCACCGGGATATCATTAAGTTTCTCGATATCTGATTCTAATGTTACACCATCTAAGGAATCAGGATATGATCCCAGCAAATAAGAATATGCGCCAATGATGGACTTTTGATCATTGATCGACCTTACAAAGATATCATCAGGGACATAGTTAGTCTCAAAGAACCTTCCATTTCCGTAGTCATTTTTGAGCTGCTGACCTCTTGCTGAAAGACTTCTTTCACCTGTGACTGTGATCCTTCCTGGACCTTGATCATAATTGACTCCAGTCACTTGGTATTCAGCATTTCCTGTAAAGAGGGGAGTCCTCTCTCCGTGTGTTATAAGAGATGATATATAAAGTGTATCTCTTCGATCTGGAGCAGCAAGGGAACTTCCCAGAAAGATTGCAATGGCAATAACTCATGAAGCAGTTATCTTCATTCTCATGATAAAATAAAATTAAATATGCTAATTTTTGCTTCAAGATGAAATTTATGCAACGGGGTTTTGGGGTTTTGGGGTTTTGGGGTTTTGGGGTTTTGGGG